TCCGCAAGTGTTCAGTTCTCGAGATACAGGGCGTTGAAGTTAAGAAATAGAAATAGTTGTTTCGCAATATCTCAAGAATAATTGAATATAATGCATTCAAATTCGGTATATGGTTTCATCTTTCAATGGGTCATTTTTTGACCAGAAAGCCTTTCCAGACATACAGGGGGTTGTGGTAACTTTTCCTCCCATATTTTCTACGCCACTGATTACATTTCGATTATTACCAATTCCTCGAATTCATTGTTCAATTTAGTTCAAATCTCGAGAAAAATTCATTATCCCGCTTTTCATGACCCCGCCCCAAAATCTCAGTTGTTAATTATGCGATTTTCTCGAAACTTTGATGGTCAGGTTAGGTTAGGTTAGGTATGTGTTCCATGTATTGATTGTTGTAAACTAGTCATTGACTAAATAAAGGACATACATACATACATTGTATGTTATTTTTTAACATACAATCACCATCGAAATTTCAAGAAAATCGCATCGTTGATAACTGAGATTTAAGGGTGTCGTCATCAAAAGCAGGTTCTTGAAATATTCTAATTTAGCTCTTGGGATCTTGAAAATATGAATTGGGGGTTATTTGGGGATGCTGATTATGAATCTGATAAAAATAGTTATTTTAAATGAGTCCTAATATTTTTTTCCAAATGAAGGCCTTTTTTGTACTCCCCAACATCGCATGCAAATGGTGAATAGAACTGTCCATTCTGCTGAATACTTCCTTATTCTAACATACAATTCACTACAAAACTATCAAGAGAATCGCACCATTAATAACTGAGATATCAGGGTGTATTCATAAAAAGCGGGACACACTGTAGAGTGCGTAGATACTTCCACGGGAAATGTTCCTAAGAAATCTCTGTTATAATTATATCACTAGCCACACCAGTCAGGCGAACTCGACAGGCCCAGTCAGCACATCCTTTCGTCGTGAACCTTGTGATACCAATAACAACACTATACCAAAACTCGTTCGTCTATGGAAAGACGGAGCTTTGTAATTCTTTGCCAATGGAAATATCCCAATAACATATAATCTACGAAAGTCAAAAAAATAATCCTATACCTGATCTCCCTATTCGGCCTATCCTCCCTATTTGCGCACGCTGTTCCACGAACATTATAGGAATTTTCTTTCGTATGCTATGATAAAAAAATACCTCTTTGGACAGTGAAAAATTAATTAATATGTGGACTAAATGAATTAATAGGTTCATGAATCAATAAATTCCGGGTCTGAAGGCGAGACGAACCCATTGTCGAAGTGTTCTCGATTTATAGGTGACAAAGCAAAGGTGAGGGCGAGAGACTGACCTCAAGTTGAGTATTTCCCGATCAAGGATATTGTGTGTGGGATCGTTACAGTTACATTCACTCAACTACGCCCATGCAGCTCGATGAGGAACTCGTGGGGGCAACTGGGACAACCAAACAACTCGATGAAGTGGAGAATTCTTGAAAACAAATTCTAGAATAACCAGGGATCTGATCATGTGTGACATGAAATAATCAGTAGTTGATGAAAATAGTGTGAAGAGAATATACATTGACATACTTGAGTGAAGATTTGGACCAGTTTCAAGTCGATAGATTCAGTTTCAACAAAGAAGAAATCGTAACCATAAATTTAAGGATATTTCAACATCCCGTGTATCGAAAAAAAGTGTCTTCACGACAGAACAAGATAGCAAGAATATAATATTTTCAATGTTATTTCGATTTCAGAGTTAGATAAGTGTGTTAAACCTGAAACCCCTATATCATGAGAATAAAATAGTTATTTATACCCCAGATTCGAACACGACACTATTTATTTTCGAACTGATTTATTTTAACTAGAGAAACACTAATTTATATCGAACCTATAACTACTATTTATGTAAAACGATTTATATCACGCGGTATATAACTGTCTCTCTGACACTCTCTGCCTGACTGACTGACGGCAGTTGTCCGGCCGTTTATATATGAGATCCCTTGGTAAGCTTTGCTTCTCGAATGTTCTCGAATGATCTTCCGTACCCTTCTTCCTGTTCTAGAAGCTTCTTAGATCAATATCTCTCTCTCTAATTGTTCCATCGATTGCTTCCAGAACATTCCAGATTCTTCTGTAACGTTATTTTTCACCGCGGCATATATTGAGTGTTCGAAAATATGCTGGTGCATTTAGGAATCATTGGGAGAATGTAGAACAATCTGGGATGCGTGTAACAGGATGATCGTTGTACTTCTGTCTTCCTGACGATGTTTATAAAGCCCCTCTAAGAGAAATATCATCACAATACTTTCTACCCTTATGATCTTCCTTCCAGTGAATAACATGTGAAATTTAAACGACAGGTCAATTTCATGATCAAGAGGGAGACACTTTGAATGCGTATTATGTTCAGCCTTCTTGAATGGGAGTCAAGTGGCACATCATTTCAAAGGGCGTTCAATTTTCTTCCCAAAAGTACCCTAGGTCATCATTTTTTGATGAGCAGTTTCAGAGAAACACCGTTCTGAACCCAAAGAAGTAATCTGAACTGAGATGCTGAGATGTTCGAATTGTTACAAGATGTTGAACTGAAAAGATAGTCAATACAATATTACTATCCTGAAATAAGTTTAGAACGGCATTTTTCGGAAACTGGTTAACAAAAAATTATTAAGTAGGGTACTGTTGGTAAGAGAATTGAAAGCCATTCAAAGAAATGTGTCATTTGACCCCGTTTTCCATTTGAGATTCTTAGGGTTACATCTACTCTTTCTAGAGGATTGAATCAAGAGAGCTATAGAACTAATCATTTCAATGTCCCCCTCGAAAATAAAATCGACCTGTCTTCTCGATATATCATATTATTCACTAGAAGGAAGATATTGAGGATGGGAAGTTTCCAATATTCCACACTTTATTTTATCCATTATAGTTCTGTGAAACTGAAATAAGGATATATGGTCACGGACTTCTTTTCAAGTCTAATCAAAATCTAGTTACCATAATGAGACAGCATAATATGAAGTCGTTATTGATAAATACCTACTAGATTGGAGTGCTATTTCTGCGAATTTCGCATCAGAGCAGTGAATTCGGGTTGATTATAACTGAGGTGTCTTAGTCTTTATCGACTAATAGTTCAGAAAATGAAGAAAATTTCCCATCGTAGAAAAAACACATTTTCTCCTTGAAAAGCAGTAAATAATAATGGTAGGTTCAATAGCTAGTGGTGGAAATAATTACATCTTACATACAGGGTGTCCGGAAATTATGCGCAAAAAATCAAGGGGGTGATTCTACATGATGAAATGAGAAATTCTTTTCATATGTACGTGGGTCCGGAAATGCATAGTTTTCAACATACAGTGTGTTAAAATTTTTAAACAAGATCGGTTTTTAATGAATATCTCAAATATCCTTCAACCAATTTCCTTGAAATTTGGCAATGTTATTCTTTGTCATGAGGGGCTGATATAGCCATAATTCAATTGGAATTTTAAAATCCAGTGGCGTCCCAGGGGGCAACCTACCGAATATTATTTTCAATAAAATGTGCGCCACTGATTTTTTTGAATTCTGTATCTCCATAACCTATTGACCAAATAAAAATACAACATTTTGGTCTCTTGAATTATTTTGATAATTCGCTTCATTTCCATGGAAAAGAATATTTGAAAATGCATGGCATAAATTTGTGCCGAAAATTCCTTCAAAAACTGAGGTGAAAATAAATGCGGCATCAATGTCCATAGATAGAGAATAAGTATGAAGATTCATTTTCTTAAAATATTCCTTGATACATGTTTGACACACTCTAGACTCTGTATATTGAGAACTATGTATTCTCAGGTCCAGGAAGGCGTAGTTTTCGATAATACAAAGTGTGTCAAACATGTGTATTATAAAATATTTGAATAAAATGAATCTCAATTCTCATTCTACGTCTATGGGCATGGATAACACATTTAATTTCACCCCTGTTTGTGAAGCAATGTTTTGCACAAATTTATACAATGAATTGGTATTTATTTTATTCCATGGAGACGCAGCAGAATTGCAAAACAATTTGAGAGACTGAAATGTTGTATTTTCAGTTAATCATTAGGATATGGAGAAAGAGATTTAAAAAAAATCAGGGGCGATCATTTTATTGACAAAAATATTCGGTAGGGTGCCCCTGGGACGCCACTGGATTTCACAATTTTAATTCAAAAATGGCTTAATCAGCCCCTCATGACAAAGAATATCATGACCAAATTTCAAGAGAATTGGTGAAAGAATGTTCGAGAAATTCATAAAAAAACGATTTTTTCTAAAAAGTTTAACACACTGTATCTTTAAAACTATGCATTTCCGGACTCTAGTATATACGAAATAAATTTCATGTTTTCTCATGCAGAATCACCCCCTTGATTTTTTGCGCATAATTTCCGGACATTCTGTATATCAATTCACTCTTTCAACTGTGGTGAAACTAAAATCCTTAAAAGTTTTATATCATAACCAGGCACCTGCACCAAAATTGACAAAATTCACGAAAATCAAAAGTGTCCTATGAACTCTTATCGAAGGTGTTCTACTCTCCCCTACTTGATTTCTACCAGACAAACAAGAATAAGTAAGAATACTCGAATAGGCAATAAGCTCTTGTTGCAGATATTGTATTCGCCAAGAGAAGTGAATGTTTCATATTATTTATTTTATTCTGCTGACTGGAATTTGCGTAGATGATGGTAATTGGAATATATTTATGTCTTCTGGAATTTATGTACAGACAACGGAGCGACTATTCTGAAAGGTCTGATTTTACAAGACATATCCTAGATTCACATAGAATGTTCAAGTCTTATGAAATTATAAATGAACAGCTTGACTTGTGCTGTGCAAAAATTATATTGTATGGAAAGGTAAGCGGTTTTTCTAATTTTCTACACCTAAAAAATCACGCAGAATTCTAGAGCATCCGCCAAAAAATCAAATAAAAGATGATAAGATTTCAGACGATATTTACCTTCTTTTTGGATTATTTCTTGTCCTTTTTTCAGCATTAGTTTGAACTACCAGTCTGAAACAAAAATAAAATCGATTAGATTCAATTGTATGAGGGAATATTAGTTATATTAGGCCCCCACCTTTTTCTATTTATCTGTGTGGTATTCTAGTAAATTGGATTTCTATTTTTTAAAATTCTTTTCCTATGAAAGCAGTAATCATAGGTTTTCCTCAGGATAGGTAAATACATATTTTGTTTCAAGAACTTGATACTTATTTTTTATTGGTTATTTGGTATCCATTTCACTTATAGGTATGAAAAGGGATTTTAAGATTCCTAGGTTTATATGAAGCGAGAGGCCCGCTTTCAGAGGAGGTGGAAATGTGTCAAGAATGGATCGACTATAATAATTTTATTAGGAATATTCGAAATTCCCATTTCATTTAAGAACAGTACAATAACCTAGTCTAGATCATATTATTAGAATTATTTAGCTCACAGGATATCAGTAGAGAATTACGATATTCAAAGGAAATTATAGTTCGGATTTCAATCCTATTATTATTCAAGTAAACTCGCTGACGAGCAGAAACTGCTGGTTTTGGATTTTTCTTCATCGAGGTGAATACACTAGTTTTTATGCTGAATCAATGACCACTAACAAAACCGACATGAAAAAGTATTAGAGAAAAAACCGGCAGTTGTGGTTCGGACAGTGGACCGTGAAGTATATTTTTCTCAAATTCGCTAACAAAAAAGTAAATCTTGAACATTTTTGCATCATGTCTAAACTTGAGTGACAGTTCCAATCCTCCAACGAAGAGCGAGCCTTTCTGTAAAATACGTTTCTTAATATTACTAGTTTTAGTTTTCTTGTTTTGTTTTTATTTCAGTTGGACGTATCTTGCTGGGAAATTGGTCAATTGTTTTTTTTTTCATAAAAATGAATGAATTTGTGAAGTGGAGTTGAATTCCTTGATTATAGTTTTCATAAAATCTCTTGCAAGCGAGTAAGTTCGAGTAACGATTGTGGGGGTTAGAACCCACTCGTGAAAATATCAACGTTGGTTTTTATGTAAGTATATAGTCTGCAAATGTTGATAGAACTCACTGATCCATTATACTATTTAAAGGAGTTCATCCATCACGGCATCATCACGATGTCTTCGAATTGACATTATTTTGGCCAACAAACAATGGTGCTGAATCTTAGGAATGTCACGCATTTATTGTTTCACTTTGGTGATGATCTATTGTCCTATTTAAACATTATTTACCTTTCTCGACTATCAATGAGGAAATTCTAGGTTAGGTCGACATCATTGTTTCGTCATCATTATTTATTCCCCAGTCGAGCCATATATTTCGTTCGATATTACATCAGATATACGAATAATTTTTCATTGTTAGGTATATTCTGTTATACCAATTATTGTGTGTGTTTTTTTCAACATTTCACTTGATGGTGAGGTTGGGCTTAAGGAAAGAGGAAAAAAGAAGTTGGCCAAGGAAGGCCGATAGGGTAGTATTGTGAGCCCCTGAGGAGTATTTATGGAGGTATACATTCATGTTTACCGGGTAGCCCAAATAGAAGTTATGACCGTCAACTTGATTTCTTCTAAAGAAAACACCTATTTTGTATTTCATGTATCTGAACTCTGAACTAAACAGTTATTGAAACCATATTGATGGAACATAAATATCAATAGGTATAAGACCATATTTATAACAATTATTTTTTATTTATCGAGCAGACTGTATTTTTTGTCAATTCTGACAGTATACTGGTTTCATTTCCGAATGCATTGGACCCAGACTCCTCTGACAAAAAACTGTTGTTGGTAGGTTGGTTGGTGACAAATGCGCTGCGACCTAATTAGATCTATTGTGCCCCATCTGCTCCTGCCATATCAAGGATTCCTTGTTCATAGCAGCCCCTCAAGATTCAATTCCTTCCCTTCAGGAATTTGAGGATTTCGAGGGGATCTAGTTATGGTATTTCTTCCACAGTCAGTTGGTGTGTTCGCATTATGGTCAATCTTTTGTGATGTACAGCGTCACACTCCATCAGTATGTGATGGGATGCTTCTGGTTCTTCCTCACAGAATCTGCAGGTGCCGTCCTCCTGTAAGCATAGCTTCCTAAGGTGTTCTCTGAGTCTGCAATGCCTCATTAGAAATCCCGTTATTGCTTTGAGACTTCCTTTGCTGAGGTTTATCAGTGTATTAGATCTTTCTCGGTTGAAATTTTCGAGGAGATTTTTAGCCCTCCGCAGTCCTGGAAGTCTTCTCTATTATCTGGCTCTCGAGGCTCCTTCCGCCTTCTCAAGTTCTCTCCTTGGAAATAGGAATTTCCAAGGCTGCAGAATAGCTCTGGTCCGATCAGTGGTGTCGTGCCAGAGTGTCTGCTTGTTCAGTTCCCTCCACTCCGATATGGCCTGGCACCCAGAGGAGGATCACTTTATTGTTCCTGCCTAGCTCATTCAATTTGCTTAGGCATTCCCATACCATCTTCGAGTTGATGTTAGAAGAGCTCAACGCTTTGATGACTGCTTGGATATCGGATAAAATCGCGATATCCTTCTTCCGGTATTTCCTGTCTAGGTTGTACTGGATGCATCTTCTTATGGCGTGTATTTCCACTTGAAAAATGCTATGCTGGGGAATTGTCCCACGGATTCGAAGTATTTGGTGCGAGGCACAAAGACTCCTGCTCCAGTTTCCTCGGGTGTTTTAGACCCGTCCGTATACCAAGTAATGGTGTTCCTTCCCAGCTCTTCGATGAATTCTATGCTCCATTTGCGTTTGTTACTCAGTTCCACTCGGAAGTTCTTTTCAAAACTGAACTTTCTAATGATTTGGTCTGTTGGAAGATCGGATCGGACCGCCAGAACTTCCTCCGATGAACTTATTTTTGTGAGGTTACCTCAAATTGAGAGGATTTGTTTACATACGAGACGAAGTGGGTTCATTAATCGTCTCCTATATTGTTAAGCCGTTAATGGGCACAAATTTTCAACATTTTTTGATTTAGCTTGTTATTTTACTTCATTCTTTGGGATTTCCTCTCCTCGTTTCTCTAAAATGAAAACATGCGTATTATTTCAATATATTTGTAGTGATACAAATCAGATGATTTGCCCAGAATGTCACTGCGTTTAACAAATTTTTGAATCAGGGAGCCTAAATGAAAAAATATTTGAAGGAAAGAAATATCGATATATTGAAAAAATATCGAATTTTTACTCATCTTTGGACGTTTCGGGACCGAATCAGCTCCCGTTCTCAACATGAAAATGCAGAATATTTCTCTTTGGAAGTTGTGCTGCTTATAGTTTGACACTTTCAAGTGTCATACTGTAGGTTAATCGAGGGAGTGGTACGTTAATTTCACTTGATTTTTTGGGATTTTCTCTCCTCGTTTCTTTAAAATAAAAGTATGTGTATTATTTCAATATATATATTTAACTTCTTGTTTCGATCTTTCACTAAACATTTCTTTACTTAATGAGATGTTCAATCGTATATTTAATAATAATAATAATAATAATAAACGTCTTTATTACTTCTGAATAGAAAATGATATATAAAGTATGGGTGGATAATAATTTTCAGAAGAAAAGGGCGAAGTTCAACTCAGTTTCTAGATGACTCCGTCCACTGAATTGCTCTACCACTGAACCCCCAAATACCTCTACAATTCAACATATAGGAACAACAGAGGAAAAAATTAGAAAAAGTGAAAAAATAGTACATATGGATGATAACATATAATAGGAAGTCTGAATGTTGTTATTGATTTGAATTAAACAGATGTGAAAATATATTCGTTTTGAATTTATGAAACACTGCTGATTTCAATTTATGTGGAATATTATTGTAAATATGGCATATTTGATAACTGAAGCATCTTCGGAAAAGTTCTGTTTTGAAAGGGGGAGGAGACAATACGCCTCTAAACCTAATATTCACATTGTGAACGTCCGTACGGAAAACAATTTTTTTATGGAGATAGGAAGGTTTTTTACTGATGATTATTCTATGAAAGAGGTTAGCGGTCTGATGAAGTCTCCTGTTTTCCATAGTCAGCCAACCAGCATCTTTCATCTTATGAGAGATTCTCTGGCCTCTTCTTATCCCATACATCAATCTCAAGCATGAATTCTGGAGCTTTTGTATCTTATTTTTGTAAAGTTTTGTTAAATGTGGTCCATAGACACAATTGTCATAATTGCAATGTGATAAAACGAGAGTTTCACACATAATAACTTTCAATTTAAAAGGAAGAACATGCCTAACACCATGAATAGTTTTCAGCGAAGAATATGCACGTCGCAAAAGATTATCAACATTCTTTTCAAATCTAAGAGTATGATCAAGGATGACCCCAAGATTTTTAGCTTCCTCTACCAGCTGAATTGGTTCACCATTTATTGATATATTTACGGATTCTAGTACTGCAGATCGTTTGGTTTTGGGTCCAAACAGTAACACATTAGACTTACGAGAGTTTAACAGTAGGCAATGGTCTGTGGCAGTTTTAACAAACTCATTCAGATTTTTATTGATTATTTCACAGGAAACTTCTACACTTTGAGGAGGAAAGCTGTAATAAACTTGGGTATCATCTGCGTAAAAGTGCACTTCACATTCATCCAGATTATTGATGAGATTTGAAGTGTAGATTGCAAATAAAATTGGTCCCAAAATTGACCCTTGTGGTACTCCCCGCTGAAGAGGAAGTAGAGATGAGAGCACCTCACCAATTGCAACTCTTTGAGTTCTATTATTGAGGTAATTTCTAACCAATGTTATAGCTGCAGCTGACAGGCCAATGTAATGTAATATGGATATCAACAACTCATGATTTATAGTATCAAAGGCTCTGCTGAAGTCGAGTAGTACCAGAGCGGTACAATTCCCGTCATCTGTTGCTCTGACAATATCATCTACAACATTTCGGTTAACTGTTCAATTTAGGACATGGTATACATGAAACCTACCTAGAATTCGGTAGAAATAGATGTTTCTATTCGAATCATAATGATGCCAGATTTATACCCGACTATATTGTTATC